TGTTTGGAAAATTGGACAAGTATATGCAAAAAATGAAACTAGGCCACCAACTTACGCCATACAGAAGAATAAGCTCAAAATGGATAAAAGATTTAAATGTAAGTCATGAAACCATAAAAGTCTTAGAAGAAAACATAGGCAGCAAAATCTCAGACATATTATGTAGCAGAATTTTCACAGATACATCTTGTAGCGCAAGAGAAACAAAGGAGAAAATAAACAAATGGGACTTCAAACTAAAAATCTGCACAGCAAAAGAAACCATCCTCAAAATGAAAAGAGAACCCACTATATGGAAGAACATATTTGACAATGATATATCTGGTAAGGGGTTAATTTTCAAAATATATAAAGAACTCATACGACTCAACACCAGGAAGACAAACAATCCAATTAAAAAATGGACAAAGGACCTAAATACACACTTCTCCAAAGAGGACATACAGATGGCCAAAAGACATATGAAAAAATGCTCAATGTCACTAATCATCAGAGAGATGCAAATTAAAACTACAATGAGGTATCACTTCACACCTGTCAGAATGGCTCCATCAACAAACAACAAGCGCTGGCCAGGGTGTGGAGAAAAAGGAACCCTAGTGGGAGTGCAGACTGGTGCAGCCACTAAGGAAAACAGTGTGGAGTTTCCTCAAAAAATTAAAAATGGAGCTGCCATTTGACCCAGTGATCCCACTTCTAGAAATATATCCTAGGAATCCTGAAACACCAATCACAAAGAACTTATGCACCCCTATGTTCATAACAGCACAATTTACAATAGCTAAGATCTGGAAGCAGCCCAAGTGCCCATCAGTAGATGAGTGGATAAAGAAGATGCGGTACATTTACACAATGGAATACTATACAGCTATAAAAAAGAAGGCTGTCTTACCCTTTGAGAGAGCATGGAGGGACCTGGAGAATATTATGCTACGCGAAATAAGCCAGTCAGAGAAAGACAAATATCCCATGATCTCACTTATCTGCAGAATCTAATGAACAAAATAAATTGACGAACAAATTGGGTCCAGAGACATGGAAGCATGGAACAGACGAATCTCAGAGGGAAGGGGGGAGAGAGGAGTGAGAAGAGATTAGCCAAAGAACTTATAAGGTATATATGTGTAGCTCGTGGACACAGACAATAGTGCAGTGAAGGCCTGTGGTGGGGCGGGAGCTGGGTAGAGGAGGCCAATGCGGGGAAAAATGCGGGACATCTGTAATACTCTCAACAATAAAGTTAAATTTAGCCACGGTCAGTGTGGTTCAGTGGTTGGAGCATTGGCCCACACATGAAGAAATAGTCCCTCTGGTATGCATTGAATAATACAGTTCCATTTGAGAAGTAGTGGGGGAAAGCGAAGGTATCAGAAATGCTCTGATTAGATCTTGGTGACATGGGAAGGAGGAGACCTGCTAACTTGAAGCAGGGTATTGTATGGTTTGGGGAGCATATTTGGCTTTCTCTGATTTATCTTGAGTTGAAAGTAGGGGCAAAAATTGGGGAAGTTGGCAGTCACTGATCAAGTCCTAACTGTTCTGGGCCATTTCCTCATGAGGTGAATCAAAGGTCTATTGTCATATATGGTCTCTCACAGTGGAAGCTTTGCATTGTGGATATTTTAGAAACCTGGCTGACAGATCATATTTTACTCTTTAGCTATTGAACTAGGAGTCCTACAATAATAATATTTAGTTGTGTAACATTTTAAACTAATACACTTTCCGGTGCATCCTTTCCCTCTTTTATCCTTACAGCAATCTTGTGATCCTGGGAGGTTAATTACCTAAAGTTATTCAATGGATTTGAACTAGAATTAGGATTATATCATAGTATAGAATGATTTGTAATATAGCACTCAAATTGTCTGGTATAGATATCCTCTATAATGGCTTTAAAATAAATATTTTGGGTTCTGTGCTGTGATAATCTATTCCAATTGCTTCTAATTTCATTGTTTAAAGGTAGTGTCAGGGGGTCTCTGGCCAGAGACAGTACTGCACTCCCAGTTCTTGTCTTGCTTGTAGGAATGGTCAAGGGGTCTCTGACCAGAGACAACCCCTGGCCAGAGACAGTACGCTGCACTCTCAGTTTTTGTGTTGCTTGCAGGAATGAATTCAAACAAGAGACAACCAATAATAGCAAAAGCAGGCTATGATTAATTTGTAGGAAAGCAATACACTCAGATGGAACCTGAGCAGGCAACTCGGCCAATATTTGGGAGTTCAGAGGATTTATACCCCTACTCTGGAACACCCCTAGGCAAAGAGCAAGTCACCCCTTCCTTCTCTCAAAAAAGAAGGTATCTTTAAGTTATGAGGTTCCTTAACCTATGTGTTATGTCACCAGTTAGACCACATCCTGGAGGGGCTCTGAATCTTTCCGTTCACATAGGAGCCTTCCACCTCCACTGTCTATTTTCAGTTTGTCACGTCTGGCATTTATTTCCTCCAATCCCCAGCTGCCTCTCCCAGCCTTGAGGGTCACAGCTCTCTTCAAATATCTACTGAGGCTGTTATGTGGAAGAAGGATTAGCTTTATTCCTATGGCTCCAGTGGGCAGAACTCATGCCTGTAAGTGAAAGAGAGGCACATTTCAATTAGAATGTGACAACTTCTTTCTAATGAGACATTTGTTCCCAAAAGAAGGGGTCGCCTTGTGAAAGAGCCAGTTGCTCATCTCTCCTAGTGTTGAGTAAGACTCCAGCATACTGCCACTCAAGTGAGTGCTTGAACTGGCCAGGCCAGCTGACCTTGAAGGGTGTCGTAGACTTCAAGTTTATGACATTTTGTTAAATTCTAAAAGGAGACATAGACATTTTAAATACAGCACTTTGAAATTATTCAAATTCTGAATGAAGTTACAATGTTATGTTTTTTAAAATCAGTGAGCTCTATTTTAACCTTTACCACTCGACTCTTCATTGAATTAGTGATTTTTGTCTTTATGCCACATATTTTCAAGAACATTTTTTAAAAAGTAAAAATTATCCTAATAAGGAGTTGTCGAACTCCATGTTCCATCAGCATTGTTTTCTGACTGTGCAGTTATAAAACTTTATACCAGATGTATTGCACTAATTTTTGAAGTTTTAATAAATTGTAGGAATCCAACGAAGTAAAAAAAACAAAACACCAAAAACCAAAAAAACAAACAACAAAAAAACCCTGCCTTTGAATGGTAAGTGCTAGGATTTTAACCTCTAATCTTCACTGTTTGAAAAAGACCTATTTCTTCTCGGTGGCTTTTTAAATATTCCTTCAGGTTGGGCGCAACTATAGCTTTTCTAGTTTACAAATAACTTAAAACTGAAATAAAACAGAGAGTTCTCTTCCACACCTGAACTCTGACTGTTCCATGTTCTCCAAGGATTTCCAAGCGATGCTCTTTTCACCACGCCCTTTACCTGGCTTTGTAACTGCTTCCATGGAATCCCCTATTTTTTGCCAGAAAAACATTCTTTTCATGGTAGGCTGGGTTTCTCTCTTTTGGGGGGGGGGAATAAATAAATAAATACAGAATCCTAGGGAATCTTTCAGAACCCGAGAAGTCATTCCCGGGTGTAAAAAACAGCCCAGGGACTGGGCGAAAAGACGTGCCTCCCGCACGAACCGGGCACTCCCGCCCCTTAGACGACTTCCGGACCGGCTGCGGCGGTGTCGAAATCGGCCGCTTACCCAGACCTATTTATTTTTTTTAATGACTGTACATATTTGCATACACAGATGGTTAGAGAGAGAGGTGAGGAGGAGAGGCTGTCCCTGGAGAACGGGAGGTGGCGCGGAGGCAGGGCGGGCGCCCGGAC